CACCATGGCCGCTCGCTGTCCACAACTAGCGTCCACGTCGTCGGCTATGTCTCCAGCAAAGTTCTTCCTCCACTCGCCCAACAGCGACGCCGGGGACTCTTCTGAGGAAGAGGGCGACACTCTTTTCACCCCTCCCTCGCTCGGACACCCGTCTGCTATGTTCAGTCAGATGAACAGCCAGTTCACCTTTCGCTATCCTGCTGAATCGTCTACCTTAGAGATACCCGTTGCGCAGGAACAAACGAGGCCGAGCCGACCCCTCTCGCCCGTCGCTCCCGTCTTTACTCCCGCAGCCAAGCTGAAGCAGCCACAGCAACATTCGTATGAGCGGCCCATTTCAGGTCCCTCGCCCGCATTGGATCTGGCCAATGCCTCGCTCGAATTTGATCCCTTCGCGGCATCGTTCTCTTCTTATTGTGACCCACAGACATCACCGCTCAAACAGCCTTCGACGGGTCGGGATAGACCCTCCCTCAGCCGTTCACCTGTCACCGACTACAGGCTAGTGACGAAGGCACGGGTGTATTCCCCAAGGTTCCCGAACGACCATTATCTCGACTCTGCCTTTGTGCGGGCCTTCCAGCTAGAGGACGAGTTGGGCTCTGGCGGATATGGCTTCGTCATGACCGCCCGTCATCGTACAGAGGGATACGAGGTAGCAGTCAAGTTTATTATCAAAGCCAAAGTGCCGGAGAATTCCTGGATGGACGACGAAATCTTAGGAAGGGTTCCTACCGAGATTCTTCTGCTCAGTCTGATCAATCATGAGAACATCGTCAAGTGCATCGACGTGTATGAAGACGAACTATACTTCTATCTGGTACGCGAGCGTATTCGTTAGCTAGTGACCACTTTATTGACCTGGCTGATGCCGTGGCATTTCAGGTTCAAGAGTTACATGGGACTCCTTGGACGTCCAAAAGGCGAACCGGTGTCAAACGCATCACAGCGCCGGGCAAGATGCCCTCGTTGGTCTCCTCTCCACCACCTCTCTCTGCCTCGCCTTCGGATACGACCGTCGATTCCAATTTCCCGGATACCCCGCCTCAATCTACTCTCCATCTCCCTCCCCACGTACAAGATACCAAGGCGGATGGCTATCCTGATATCCAGGTAACAATTACTAGCCCAGCGCCTCGCGACAGGGGACTTCAACCGCATGGGTCTTCTTCTCCCCATCCGGATGCTCTGAATATTCCAGTCCCGCTGCCCTTGGCCACCCCCACTCCCAAGGGCACGCACCTCGAGGTTGTTCGCCCGAAGTTTTCTCGCAGGCCCTCGCACGATTTGTTCGAGTGTATCGAACAGAGTAAACATAAGAGGCTATCCGAGACTCAAGCCAGGTATATCTTTGCCCAAGTCGTTGAAGCGGTGTGGTATCTCGACAGACAGGGGATCACGCATCGTGACATCAAGGACGAGAATCTGGTTGTAGACAAAGACTTGCGGGTACGCTTAATCTGCTGCTGATTCACATGGTTGTCACCTTACGATATTATCTATTGCCTTTGCGCCTCGCTGCATTCAGGTCAAGCTCATCGACTTTGGGAGTGCCGTGGTGGCGGATCCGACTAGACCCCGTCCGCTCTACAACTTGTTCTATGGCACGACTGCGTACGCTGCGTCTGAGATTCTGCGGAGAAAGCCGTACCAGGCTGCGCCCGCCGAGATCTGGACGCTGGGCGTTCTATTGTCCTACCTCCTGACCGGGAACTCCCCATTCCCAACGGAACAGGATGCTATCGAGGGCAGGATACTGCTGAATGATGGTACGAAGAAGGGACAGGCTAGCGGGGAGAAGAAGAAGCTGTGGATTAGCGACGGCTGCCTGGGTCTTATGCGGAGATGCTTGGAGAAGGATCCGGAGAGGCGGGCGACGATCGAAGAGGTCAGGGAGCATTGGTGGGTGAGGGGTGCCTGGGAGGCATGGGAGGGGAGGATCAGGCGGTGAGTGTGGTTCTGCCTAGGACAATGGACTGGCACGGACTCCGTCGAACGGACGCTGCTGTATCAGTAGATGATATTCTGTGGGTCGCAGTGGAGGTGTAGCATATCTTACGAAACCCGTTAATTCCTTCCTCTTCTTTCATCTTCCTTCCCGTCTCTCTTTCTTCTGCATCTCTTGCGTGCATGTATGCGTAGTCTCTTTCGCTTTATCCGATTTGTATCTCGCTAGCCTGTTCATCATTTCGTACTGCCGAGGCTCTATGTAGGTTTGTATCCTCATAAGTCCAGTGACGTCGCTACAGATGGGGTGATTCGGACATGGGACAGATGGAGAGGGCCGTCTTACTACATGCCCCGCATGCTCATACCTGACGAGACGAGATCGTAAACATTAATCAAGGGACACGGCTCCCTCGGGCCGCCTCTGTGCAGCGTAACATTGGCGCACAACTTCCCTGTGCCCGCATCGAATGCCACTTGGTCCTTCACAGAAGAAATGAGGCGCCTGGGGATAAGGATATCACACGGCTCGAGCTTCAACAAGTCGTCCGTGCCAGCCCGCGGGCGGAGTCGCCACAACTTGAGTTTGCGGTACTCACGGAAGATGAGGAAGGAGGTGCCCCGTGCCGAGTAGATGCAAGGTGTAGGGTAGCTGGGGAGGACCACGGATTCTGGAAAGGTTTGGAATTTGTGGACGGCCACTGAACCGGGGGTGCGGCGGTTCGGCGGTTCGAGTAGGGAGAATTCGAGTATTTCGGCAGGTGCATTCGGGCCACATGAGAGGAAGCAAAGAGTATGAGCGGCAGCGTCCGGAGGCGCGTAGGTGCTGAGAAGGTGCAGACTCCTGCCTTGCGTTTGTATCGTGGGGATATGGTCGTTCATATGGGAGCATTTCAGACGGAACGTTTTATTTGGCGTCATGGACAGGAATTGGGACGCATTCCTCCAATTTGGTTCGCAAGGTAAGGTGAATGCCTCAACGTGGACATATGCCGATTCGGTATCACCCCCGCGGGACTGACGAACGTAGCAGAACCAGACGTGCGTTGATGTGAGGATCGGATTACACAATAGCCATGAAAGACCTGACCAACTAGTACGCTTTGAGATGGCTTGAGTCCCATAAGCAAGTAAGAAAGTGTGAATCTCAGTACCTGATGAACAGAGATCTTATACTTGTTCCTTGTATAGAGGGAAAAGAGGGTTGCATGGTCTTCCCCGTGGCCCCCGTAGAACTCGCAAGCAAGCAGAAACCGATCGTTCAGGCTTAGGACCTGCGCCGCTCCCTCCAACTCGTCGTAGATATCGTCGCAATGCCACTCTAACCTTCGGATGCACCTAAACGCTGTAGGGCGAGAAGGGTCAAGGGACAACTTGAGGACCGTTCTACGGGTGTCACACACGACGGTGAGCGACAGCGTATTATGGGTCATTCCTTCAAAGCCTTACATAGAATCCTGGGTCCCGATGTACGCGTACAGAAGGGCATCCTCGTCCAAACAAGCGTAGCAGACCGATTCAGCCATCCTGACTCCCGCAATTGCCTGCCACGTGACAGGGCTCGCTGAAGGGTCGGGGGCCTGCAAATCATAGCACCTGACATAATTTGCACGGCCTGTTACCAGCCAACGCCCCTTCACAAGGTCAAGCATAACGGATTGAAACAAGTCCACTCCGCATTCTTCAATGCTGCATCGGAGGACAGGCTTCACCTCTCCGCTGGTACATGCGGCTTCGATTCTGGCCGCCTTACATAGCAGTCGCTGGAGTTCGCATGTCGGCGTAGTATCCCATGGTACGTTGGGTACTGGGAGGTCCGGGAGCGATACGCCGCCGTCCAGATTAGACGGTTCCGAGAGATCTCGCGCCACCGCCTGCTGACCTGGGACACGCAATCGTCAGCGACGTAGGGGTTGCGCGTAGCCGGTATGACTGCGCCCTACCTCTTCCAGGCGGCGGATATCCAAAGGGTCCATGAAACTGATGACGCGGTATACAACATCGAATGGAAGCTCGTCGATGCCTGGATGATCCATTGTCCTATCAGTCATCGCTGTCGATGCTTGTGTGGTCAGTCCAGCCTCGGGAAAGGAGGGCTTTCAAAAGATGCTGCAGAGCGGGCGCCTGTTTTGCTATTAGTCTCCTTCACACCGCAACGAACACGCTGACGACGCTTTTGTGATACGCTTGGTCATCTGATGGGCTCTGAACGTAAACCTTACTTTATTCCTGTGACTGGGAAAGACGTGCCCATTGTGAACCCTGATGCCGGGGACGCAGGGCGCTTGGTGGGTTGATACCGTGACGTGCCGTCGAGAAGCGAGTGCGAGGGGATTCTGACGCGAAGTGCTAGTCTGGTTGCCGTCCATGATTGGGTTGTAACTGAACAGCAGGGCATATTTGTCGGTTTGACTTGGATCTGAGTTCGAAGTGTTTGCGTACTCGCAGCATCAAAGTGTGACAGTGCGTGTGGGCTTCGGGACATGTCGGAAACAGCCGAAACACTCTTTCCGTTGTCTATCTTACGATGCCCATTGGCAGCAGACAGTCGCACGACTGGATACGAAGCCTACTTACATATCGTCCCTAAACCACAGCCTGCGGATTCAAGTTGGGCGCGTAGCCCCCCACCATTGGAATCTGAACGTTGGCCGGGATGCAAACCTACAAGCCTGAGGTACATACTGTTTCTTTTGATAAGCGCCCCGCCCAAGAACAGCCTGAGATCTCGAGAGATCAGTTACTCTCCCAGCAGCCTGTCTCTCTAGCGAGCTTAGTGGTACGAACTCTGGTTTTGGCGTACACATTTGGGAACTAATTGGTTGCACGCAGTTGATCGCCATTAATGAGTAGTAGGCGTACTACATGCTTATAATCCTCATTAAGCCTTGAGATATCGCTCCACAATTTTACCAACTTTCGGAGTCACTTTATTCAACACCTGGACAGTTTCATCCTGGAACAGGGTCTGAGTTTGTGCACCATGGCATCAAAACTATTTGGCGTACCCATATGCGGTCCCCGCTTTCCTTTCCAGCGTCGCTCAGGACGAAATCACTTGGCTCCACGATTTCATTCCAAGACACATATCCGCCTTTAATCTTGTCTACGGCTGACGGATCTTCAACTGCTCCCGGTGGTCCTAGAGCGCCGTACAGAATTTGACGGGAGCCCTCCTCACTCGTAATAGTCACCAGCTCGATTCGCTCCCCATTGTGCTCGACGGACGGAGGCGGGTAGTCCTCGGCTTCATGGCGGAGCTCTGAGTCGCAGTATCCAGGGTCGATTGCGGTGACGATCAAGGGAGATGCCGGTGGAAGGCGTGCATTCAGTGCTCTGACAAAGAGGACATTGAGCACTAGACACTAGTTAGCTATCTGCCACAAAAAGGTGCAGAGGCCCGTACGTTTCGATGTCACATATAGTTGCTGTCTGAGTATCAAAGCGGTGAGATCAGTCGCTGTTAACCGCGACGAATGCGCATTGCTCACCCTTGCAGAACCCCTTCTTCACTTAACTTCTCCAGGATGCTGGGCGACTGCCTTATAGACTCGTTGAGATCCATCCAGTAGTGAACGCCGCTGGCCACGACCACTAATCTGGTCTGGACAGAATGTTCCGAGGCCGTCTTCAAAAGTGAAGGTAGAAGGAGCAAAGAGCACAGAACTGTGGATAGGTGATTGACGTGCAGTCTGGTGCACCAGTTTAGCGAAACCGATACTGGGTGGACCAGTACGCGACGTTACTTACGTCGACTCCCACCCTTCCTCCTTCGTGTACGTGAAGGTCGCTTTGGCAGCGTTCATGACGAGGTAATCAAGGCGGCCCCCGTCTTTCTCCCACTTCTCCGCGAATTCAACCACAGAGGAAAATCGAGCCAGATCGATCATCCAGAGTTCTGCGGTCTTTTTTCCGGTCGCGCTTTCCACCGCTATATCATGAGGAAGTCATGGTGCGATCATATAACATCATGCTTTCCAGCCTACTTACCTGCCACAGCTCTTCTGCCTTTTTCCTCATTCCGGCAGGCAAGGATTACCCGGGAGGCGTTCATGTTCACGAAATGTTTGGCTGCTTCCAGACCAATCCCTGTATTGGCACCTACGACAATGACCGTTTTACCAGAAAGATCGGCCTTAACAGCGAGAGGAGGAGCCCCCGCACGGTGGCGGAGGATCTCCTTGAGCATATCGACCTGTCCCATGACTTGAACTTGACTTAAGCTTTGGGAGGTTAGAAGACACACGGAAAGGGACGGTTGCTTCGAACGCTGTTATGTATCCTGTCTGGCATGACGCCAAAGGCTTGCGTACGTGCTCGGCAGTGAACTTGTCTTGGCCAATGGGGCGACACGTCAGGGTGTTTATGCTATAGCACAGTTTGAAGATGCGCTCGATCGATAGTTCTCTGCACTTGATTTGTCACCCTCTCATCATGGGATACATAGTAACATACAATCATCGTTGCTTGTGCCATAATCCGGCCTGCAACGATCACTATTGGTTACAGCATCGCCCGGGAGTTTCGCAGATACGGATACGTTGGTGAGTCAGTGCTTAGTGTTCAATCGTAAGCTAGCATGACCAGATCAACCGTATAATGTCTGGTCATGCCCAGTCCCGAATAACCCTACTTGCCAGCTGCTAGGCTGCTTCCACTCCGTAATCCGGGCATCGATGCCCAGGACCTTGGCTGAGACCGCTGCCAATAGGTGAGCATCGCCTCTATTATCGCCCTCCATGACGAACTGCAGAAGGCATGCAGTGGGGATGGACCAAGATGAGGGATACGTGGAAATGGTAGACAGAATCCGCCGGGTAAGACCGCCTCCTGGGATGAACGGTATTGGAGTGGATTCAATGGGACGTATGACTTGGTCTGAGAGCCGGTACTGCGGAGAGGGAGAGGTATACGACGGAATAGGTAGGTTCAATATTGAGGACAGAGACGTCTGGGCAATTGATGGTGAATTGCTCGGTACGATGTGGTATGTCGGGGTTCTGAGACAATCAAACAGATGAACATAAGCACGGTATTATCTTGAATAACCACGCACATCATCTGCGAATCAGCTCTGTTCGAGGAGTTGATGCCTGATAAAAAGAGAACGGATGCGATACCGGATGTCTGGATGAAGTCTAGAAGAGATTCCGTGAATTCTTGCTTCCGATTCTAGCCCCTTTCATGTTAGCTCAGCAAATTCTCGTGGCAAAAGCAATGCATACTTTGAGGGCAGGTGACCTCTGCTGAACAACGACTATACTAACTCCATCTTGTCCATAGACTAGGACGCGTAAGCCCAGGCACTGCTGGTGAAATGATGGTAAACCAGACTTACGCTCAATGGGAGTCGTTACGCCTGATTCCCCATCCTCACGCGCAGCTACAACAGGGATGACGTCCTTGGGATTGAAGATACCAACGTGTTTCAAGGAAAACGATGCAATGAGCAAATCAACCGCAAGCTGCGAAACATTTCCGGCCGAGACAATTGGCTGCCTTGACGGTCCTGATCAGAGGCATCCTACGCAGGAAAATGGGCTGTAGGGGCACTAACGACGACGAGCGTCTTGCCTGCTAGAGAGAAAGGAGTCTTGGGATAGTAGAAGGACATCTTAGACAAGGAAGGGTTGGGTCAGGATCTGTAAACGAGGGAACCGCGGTCCGGCTTTCTCACGCATATAAAGTCCTTACATGCCACAGCCACAACTGCGCAGATCGCTGGCCGCCGCTTCCCTTGGTCAGCTTTGCATGCCGCGATTGCAGTCATTTCCTTGCGCCGCTCTCCACGACGGAGATGATGCATTGCTATGCTTGGTGTGCATCGCACCCAAGTGAGCCATCCGTTTTGAACGTCGTCATTCCCTGGGTGGTGAGGATAGATTTCGCTCAAATGGTCCTCTGCGAGACACTGACTATCCGTAATGTTTTGGGGTGAATAGGCAGTACTAGTAGAGTGAAGCCAATTTGACATTGATTACTCCCTCCCATCTGTCCGATGACCAACCGTCTATTTATGGGTTATCTCTGCTCCGCAGACGCTCACACTTCTGTGTACTCAGTCTTGTGGGAACCTCGACTATAGAGGTCTTCTATCAATGAAACTCAACACTGAATGGAGGTGCTTAAGCCTTCCGATAAGGCTACTCTCCGCAAGTTGATGAACCGCAGCGTCCTTGTACATGGTAAAGACCGTGTCATGCCAACTCCTAGATTTCGCGTCGCGATATGGTATGGTTATGTTTTTTCTTTCGTTGTCTATGGTATTCAGTGCTATCGCGTTCTAGCGGAGGCGGTATATGCGGCTTGTGTCTGGCTGTTTCCTTGTCCAAAGACCCGTCGATAGAGGTCTCCATATATGAAGCTGCGCAGCGTTTCTCCGAAATTGGCGCAGGCGTGATGATATGGGCTAAAACATGGCGAATCCTTGAAATTATGGGCCTAGCAGACCAGTTTTCAAAGGTCGCACATGCTCCTCCGGACGGGTCGATCGGAGTGGGTTTCGACTTCCGTAAATCAGATCAGCCACAGGAGGGCTTCAGGTTCCTGCTTTCCGAGATGCCTTGTACGTCAGGCATAGCTCCTGCCAGGCGAGCCTTTTGGCGTGCTAAACATGGTTCGTAGATGGATGTATCCGTTTCCACAGAGCGCATTTTCTTGACGTTTTGATCAACAACCTCCCGGAAGGGATTGCGCACTTCAACAAGCGTCTATCGTCCTATACGCGCTCATCGTCGTCGTCTCCCATAACCCTTTGTTTCGCAGATGACTCTACTGCTGTGTGCGATCTGGTCATCGGATGCGATGGGATCAAGTCCACTATCCGGACACAAATGTATAGAGAAGAAGCGGAAAGGACAAAGAACGAGCGAGGCGACTGGGAATCCATTGTAGGATATATTGAGCCTGTCTGGAGCGGGACTATCGCGTACCGTGGTCTGATACCTGCATCGAGGCTGAAGGAGGGTCACAGTGCGCTGAGCAGGCCTATGATGGTGAGTATCGGCACCTTGAGCAGCTAGTCCTCTCCCTCTTATACAATTATCCTCAGTACTGCGGCAAGGGTAAGGTGTGTCGCACATTAGCATGTCAGTTGCGACGGGAAATGACGTCCTGTAGCATGTCGTTAGCTATTCCATCTCTCAGGGAAGTATTGTCAACGTGGTCACATTCGCATCCGAGCCTGAGAAGGAAGGCATACCCTATGAAGGACCCTGGGTAACCGAGTGCTCCAGGCAAGAGCTGCTAGACTGTTACGCTGATTGGGAGCCGGAAGTCGAGGAGCTGCTACAGGTGTGTTCCTCCAACCCTTGTATGAATGGATCAGATGAATTGCGGACCATATAGTGCATAGACAAGCCTACTCGCTGGGCTATCCACCATCTCAAACCTCTCCCGTTCTATGTAACCGATCGGGTCGCCTTGCTGGGAGATGCTGTGAGTCCCCCGATATCAATGTCTCCGTGAACGATTAGACATAGGTCCTTTAGGCGCATGCCATGACTCCACATCTGGGTGCTGGTGCCGGGCAGGCAATAGAGGTCATCTTGAGTCTCTGCTTGCTATGATGCACTCTTATGCTATCCTCTATAGGATGCCTATATACTCTCTTTGCTCCTACAGCATCCGGACACTGACATCGAGTCCATCCCTCTCGTTTTGGAGGCATATGAAGATGCCCGCCTTCGGAAAGCCCAGCACATCCTTGAAGGATCATGGGATGCCGCATTGTTGTATGAATTCAACAGTGAAATGTATGGGTCGGACTGTAACAGGCTTGCAGACGTCATACAGAGGCAATGGGGCTGGGTGTGGGAGTCTACGCCGGAGGAGGATGAGCAGAATGTTCTTAAATGGTTATCAGAGCAGAAGAGACTGAGGAAAGTGCAATAGAAAAGTGCATCATTCATTTACTGGCCTATTATATAGGTTAATTTGAATCGCTGAGGTATCTCTGGTAGTATATCGGATAGTACACCCGCCTGTCAAGTTCTCCACTCGGAAAAAGCCAAAACGCGGGAGAGCGGGGTTCGACTCCCCGCCAGAGAGTGTTTTACACTGTTTCCATCGGTAGGAATCTTTTGCCGCTGTTCCCCCTCGATTGTATGGCGATCCGTATGATCTTGCACCATTTTCACCTGTTCTGCTTTGTTTATGGCTAAAATATAAGCTTTGCCGGGCGTTCCGGTCCAGACGAGTTCCAATATGCACTTCCATCAGTGATTAAGGCTGTGAGTCATCCAGGGACAATCCCAGTCATCCCCCCATCTGCTCGCCTCGATTGCGACTCACGGGATCAAGTTCTGCCGTGGAAGGTTTACCGTGGGAATATGTGGAAGCGAGAGTCACACAGGACAATGATCACTAGCGCGACCGTGACGCCGTGACCAGCGCGTTGGGGCCACATTACCTGGTCGACGTGTTCTTTCTTGGACGCACATCCGATTTCCTACTGCACCAGAACGTACGCCACCACGACGTTAGTATTGACTGTCTGTGAGTCATCTTATAGGTGGAAAGAACATCGTAGCTCAGTACACGTAGAGCTGTGTAGAGTTACTGTGTGACCTTTGTTCTCTCTTTGGTCACTTCAGGGCTCACAACGACCGAGGTTTGTTGTATATATCTGATGTTTGATCGATGTTCATTTTGCAACAGCACTTCCTTTCTGCGAGCAGCAAGCTCTTATAAGACCCCACCTCTGGTGTGTGCTTACTTTTCCACCTCTGCCTCCTTCGTGGATGCCTCCGCATGATGGCCGGCAGATGCAAAAAGGTTCCTAAAGCCCGTACTGTTGAAAGCTCGGCACCCACGCGAAAGCCTCCTGATAATATGCCTCACAAGGTGAAACTTGCTACACACCCCGCCCCTCATCTGTCCATTGGCGAGGACACACTCAGCGACATCGAGGAACAGGTTGAAGCCGAACTAGAGGGTTACCAAGACAAGATGTCTGGACTCATCGAGCGCCTCTTCCCCGATGCTGCTCTGCCTGTGCCCATTAGTGATGCCGCGGTCCGGCTCGGTCTGGTTATTGGCCCAAATTTCCGGACCTGGGACTGGACCCAAGGTCCAGTTCGGGTAAATGTCCGGACTGTGAACCTCAAAGAACCCGAAATGGTGTTGGGTCTGGTCAGGTTCGGGTTCGAACCCTTCAAAATTACCATATTTAGGTATGGTTCGGGCATTGTGGCTCCACCTGGACCTCATTGTCCACCCCAAAGCCGAACCGCGGACCAGAACCTGGGTCCGGTCCGAGGTTCGAACTGGTTCTCCCAGGTTCGGGAACCGGACTGCGGCATCACTAGTGCCCATTGACACCTACAAAAAACTTGCAACTGGATGAGACTCTCGATACTCGAAGGCAAACAAGAGATGGAATAGGTGCCCTTCTCTGACACAGGGGTCCCATAATGGAGATCAAGAGAAGCTTCTGGCCAGCTGGCTTACAAACCTCGCAAAAGGAAATCGGGAAAATTGTCAAGAAAGACTGCAATAGGGTTGTAACTGGCAACTACGCGAAGAATGGGAATCATCTATCTGGTGGGCCAGGCTACAGATGCCGCCCGGATGTCTTGATCTGTCTTGATCTTCGAAAAGGGGGTGGCCCAGATGTGGGAAACAGTCATCTCAGACTGGGAATTGAAGAGTAACTACCATGCCAAGAAGGACACTGAAAGGGCTGTGGCAGAGGGTGTCCGTCTCATTTATGGAAGCCAGTATGACAGACGATTCATACTTTCACTGGCTATTCTAGGATATCAATTTATTGTCCATGTCTTCGACGGCATTGGCTAGATGTCCTCTGAAGTGTTCAACATGCATGAAAATCCCCTTGTCTTCTTGAGGGTCTTTACCGCAGTCATGTTCTTGGACAAGGAGTATCTTGGGTTCAACCCCAGCATCAGCGTCAGGTGTCCTGGAGGCGGTGCTCGTAGCTTGACTGTGGCGGGCAAGTCATACGTGATTGAGGAGCAGGTGTGGAACAGCCCTTCAATTATAGGTTGTGGAACATCCTGCTGGTGTGCAACCTGTGGCGCTGACATGTATGCCATCAAAGATTACTGGCCAGATGTCACGCGGGGTAGCACTGAGATTGAGTTCTTGAATGCTGCACGAGATGTACCAGGCGGAATCAAGGGTGTCTGCAAGCTAGTAGATGAAGAGCTCGTCAGATTCCGAGGAGCGGAGGATATGACTGACCTGATACGACCTCCGGCAATGAAGGAGAAAGTCATGTCAGGACAGCACTGTCAATTGCATAGGCATCTGGTGCTGCAGCCATTTGCGGTTCCTATTACTCATTTCGCAACAAAACAGGAATTAATAAGCGCTTTCATAGATGTCATTCAAGGTGAGCACTTCCGACCTCCTCTCATACCATGGATTTCAACTAAACCCTCTACGATACCTCACCAGATGCTACTCCAGAAGGTGCACATCCTCCAACGAGACTTTAGTGTCAATAACATCATGCTGGTCACTACGCCAGATGACTCTGGATGCCAAAGAGGACTGCTCATTGACCTCAATTATGCACTGTGGTATTCCGAGGACCATGGGGAGATGGTGAAGGAGCGAAAGGTTGGCCAAGCCGAACGTACCATGAGTTCTGTCGTGGTACCTTACGTGGTATGTCTATACTCACTGATGCTTAGGGCACCATGCCTTTCATGGCTATAGAACTCCTGGTCTCGGGCGGGAAATTGGTACATAGACCTAAATGGAACCTCGAGTCTTTCTTCTACGTGCTCATGTGGATCTGCATTCTCTACAACGGTCCCAATAACTCAGAAAGGGATATCTTGTTCAGCAAAACTGTCTGGTATCGGTGGACAATCAGGAAACGCATCTCACCTATGACTCCCTATTTTGGTTTCCCCCTGTCTATGTTGACCTATCCGACATCTATAGACCTATGGAGGACTATGTATCCGGGGGGAAACCACTATAGAATTTGGTGTTTCGTGATGGACGCGAGGCACTTTCATGGACGCAGGGGTGTCCAAGTCGGGATACATGAAGGACGACGTTATTTGGCCAAACACACTACTTGAAGTATCTGCTTACTTCGAGGACCTTAAGTCATGTCTAGACAAGTGGTGCACTCTGCTATTCAAGTCAGACCCCGTAACCCACAATCAAGTCCTTTGTATTCTTAGCGTTGGGTGCGGGTTGCACTGCGGGTGGTCAGAGCGACACCGCACCCGCACCCGCACCCGCATACTCCGTACCCTCGGCGGGTGCAGGTCTAAAACCCACCGTCGAGACCGCCGGTCATTGGCCGATGCCCGAGGCCACCTGGGGACCACTACATAGGCATCAAGAATGGCTTACCAGGTGAGCTGGGTCCTCGCCCATTGCACATAAGTTGCTCGCAAGGCTGGTAGTGGTCTTAATATGCTCCCTAAATGACTGGTCAGTCGATTTCTAAGTCTAAAATTGATCATTTCAGGTACAAAACAGGCCCCCTCAATGAGAACCGCGGACCCGTATACCCGGCATCGCGGGTCGCGGTATGGCACGGTGTGGACAGTCCACGCACCGTACCCGCACCCGAGTGACCCTCGGGTTGAATACCGCAGTGGCACCTGCCACCCGCGCCCAACCTTATGTATTCTTCGAAAGACCTACGATTCCTTGCTGGAGCCTAGGGAAGACCGTAGGCAGTGCCATATAGCAGTACCACACTGGTATATTCCCTGATGGACAAGAGGAGGAAAACACGCGGGACGAAGCATATGATGAAGACCAGGCAGATGGATACGAGGACGATCTACCGGTCCATGTATCTAGTGGAGCTAGTCTTTTGCACTCATGGGCGAACAGTTCTAGCCACAGTCGCAAGAGGACCGTGAACGAAATCGCGGACAATGAAGGCAACTATACTGAATCCGGTATCTCCCCTGACTCGCGGAGCAGAGGCTGGATGTAACGGGCACGGCGGTTGCGAGGACCGCGCCCGAACACCTAGGACCAGAACGCGCGGCGAACCAGACGCAGACGGACGAGAATATTGCCCTCGTGAATGACGGTGCTAAAGTCCGAGTCTGGCCTAGTGCACTTCACTCAAGCTCATCGCGGCGCCCTGCAGATACTGCAAGAAGTCAGCCATGAGAACGTTGTCCTGTACGCTGTACTGTGTCAAGCTTGAGTGTCAGGCGGAGTAGGAGAAATTTGGGCGAAAGCCTCAGTGAGATGTGTGGCGCTCCTGTCCAATCACAGTGCGATGCGCTCCAGCCGGAAAGAACCCGCGGCACAGGTCGGAGCAGGGTCGGTCGAGACTCGAAATCCTACGCAGCGACGTCCAATATCCTCATTCTACGGCCAACGTCTGAACGTTTTGAACCCTCTTGCCCTTCGATACGGCCATGCTGTCTACTCTCGTTGGTGGCGGCGTTGCAGGCTGCATGGGCACCTTCTGCCCCGCCGGGGCGAGATCGTTCGGGCCGATCCGGTGCATCATGCATACTCTAAGTGCTGGTCGTTACTTGCGGCCCTTCGCGAGCAGATTGAAGGCCGGCAGCGCGTATTCGCGTTCTGAACATTGACGAGGGTCTGCGGCCTATGACGCTTGGCGGAACAGCGCAGGATGGGCCTTTTGTTTCATTGACGGGCTTGCGATGCGGTACGAGTCAGTGTTAATCTCCTCAATGAGTGCCGAGAGGCTCCTATACCGCCCTCCATCGTAGATTCCTGCAGGGTAGCCTTACAAATGACTATCACCAGTGCGAAAGCCTGTCCGCTGGGATTAGGGGCACCCAACCGGTATGCGCTGGTACTCGGAGGTCGTCAGAGGGATTCATCCCTTCTTGCTCTTTTCAGGCCTTACTTGGATCTCTCAACCCTCAACAGGTCGGAGACATCAAGGGCTTCATCTCAATATTGCTTCGGACCGCGAAGAGTCTCCAATTTCCCTATACACACTCCATGACTCTAACACGAGCATCCGCCCTCCAGGCCCGCTGTCTGATCAATTCACGATTCCATGACTTTTGGCCTTTTCTTTCCCTGATGACTCAGGCTGTTTTTTCTCCATTGCGGGCATAGGGTGCGGGAGATGCAGATTGGATGCAGAGGCGACGTTTCTTCGATTCCGGTCACCTCAAACATCGCTTCAGTGTGCCCATTGTCTAGAAGAACCCGGTCTGTAGACTCTGTTACGTGGTACGAGAAGGTTCCACTGCCATGTGGGCGACATGCCAGAGCTGCAAGGTCCAACTCTCAGTAATGATTGGAAACTTCTGGTGTACAATTGTATCTGGGTCCTTCTATACTAGTACGGCAGCAAGTGCATGGTATACTGATCACTGCTACGTGAAGGTTCTGTGGAGGAGCTCCATTCTCTCGAGCCCACACCTCGATTTAGAAGGTCCCATGCCATATAAGGAAAGGTCAGAAAGGGCGATTTGTTTTGCCGCTGACCGTACATATGTCATAGATCCGTGCTGAAGCTGCTCATCGATTTCTTCCGTCATGTCCCGCGCCACCAGTACGTACTAGCCCATTATTAAGACTCGAGACCTGGTATCCATGTTGTCTCCTTCTCTTGTCTGTATCTTAACCGCGTCGAATTTGCTTCCCGCGAAACATGGATCCCGCAAAGGTTTTGGGTCAGCAAATCAAGCTGCCGTATAGCGGCAAGATTGTGCCCAATCGCTTCCTGAAGTGCGTTCACTGGCTTGAGGCGCCCATCGTGATTAAAACATGGACATTTTAGGTCAGCGATGACGGAGCGGCTATGCACCTGGGACCCTGACCATAGAGCAGAATGCGGCAAACCCACGGAGGGCTACATCAATGCGTACAAGCGATGGTGAGCACCCCCGCGTTGTTTCAGTGTTGAGTGATAATAAAACATTAAATTTGGACGAAGGGGTGAAGGGTTGACTGGAGTGATAGTGCTCGGGAATATTCCGGTGCACCGTGATTGTGAGTTATACGATTCGAATCCGGGAAGGGCGTATGCTAACATGTTTTAGACCTGGAGGCTGCGGGTAACGCCATCATTGACAAGAATAACCCTTGGGATGCTGTCGAAGCATTTAAGCCTGCAGTTGCAGCTGCGAAGGCGCATGGCTCCCTCTGTATCGGTCAGTTGACTCACGCTGGTCGCCAAGCCCCCGATACCGTTTGCGAACGTGAGTGGTTATGTTCTCCGTCGTGCGGGACTGGGTAAGTTGGATGACTTACATTGCCGTTCAAAACCAGAACCTGTCTCTGCGTCTGACACGAAATGCCCCGACGGCGTCATGGGTCTGAACTTTCAGCCTGCGCGAGCGATGACAGAAGAGGAGATCTGGGATGCAATTGATAGATGGGCGTTTGGTGCTGAGGTCCTGTACAAAGCTGGCGCGGACGGGGCGCAGCTCCATTCTGCTCATGTGGGTGCATCCAAGGTTACCCGATCGTATGAGTCCTCATGCAGCCTTCTATCAGGGCTACCTACTCTCCCAGTTCCTTTCGCCCCTGGTCAACAAGCGCACCGACCAGTGGGGCGGGTCCTTTGAGAACCGTTCCCGAATTGTATTCGAGATTATCAAGGCCATCCGGAATCGTGTACCGGATGAATCTTTCATTATCTCGATAAAGATCAATAGCCATGACTTCATCGACGGAGGGTTCAGCCAGGAGGAGTGTGCGACGATGGTGGAGAAGCTGGAGGAAGCCCGGGTGGATCTGATTGAGCTCAGTGGCGGGACGTACGAGAGCTTGGCGTTTGAGCATAAGAAGGAGAGTACGAGAAGGAGGGAGGGGTGAGTGCCTGCCTTGCTTCGTCTTATATTTGGTACTCACCGATATCCTTTACATATCCCAGCTTTTTCGTCGAGTTTGCTGACCGGATTCGGCCGCACGTCAAGAAATCCGTGCTTTGTGTTACTGGTGGGTTCAGAAACGCAGAGCCCATGGCGGAGGCCGTCAAGCAGGATACGTGCCAGATTGTCGGCCTTGCGCGACCGCTGTGTGCAGAACCAGATTTGCCGAAGAAGATCTTGGAGGGGAAGAGCAAGGGTGCGGCCGAGAATGCGGTGGAGAGTAGTCTGCAGACCCCTGCCGCGGTGATTCAGGTTCTTTTTTCCTTCGCCCTCATCGATTTTCTTGGGGAGCTAAGCACTGCCTTGAATCATCAGATACATGCAATGGCTGAGAATAGGCCGATTCCCGATACCGCGAAGAAGGAAGTTGCTGAGGAAGTTACTGAGATGATTATTGGGAAGAAACCCATGCCACATGCGGAGGGTGCCAAGTATCCGCCCATCTAGGTATGTTTAGGTTTGGTACGGAGAAATCTTATGGGCACTCCTATGCACACTGATAGTAGACGTACAGAGATGTATAGAATCTGTCGAAGTTGTAGTATAGTACAACATGTGGGTTAGAGGTTGAAGTATATTGGCAAATAGCTTGGAGTACCGACTACTATGTACAATGCCTGCCACAAAATGGTGTGGCAGCCAATCGGACTTACCGGTTCCGAGTGCCGGAGATTCCCGGCGGAATCAAGTGGCCTCCTTTGCGGGGAAAGTCTCTTGAGTTGCAGGCGTAGGCCTTCGTTCAGCGAAGTTTCTACACCTGAAGTCTCCCAATGGCCAGCATGATCGTACGCAACTTCAGTTTTGCAGTGAAGACAAGGCGATCTTTATTCCTGGGCAGGGCTATCGTCCGGACATATGCCAGTGCTCCATCACCCCATGCGCTTGTGTATCTCGAGCACCGAGGCGGTCAACTTGACTCTGGTTCGCTCTCTGCGGTGACGGCGGCTACGCAGCTCGGTGGACAGGTGACTGGGCTGGTGGTGGGCTCGCCCGAGGAAGTTCCAGGAGTGGTGGAGAAGGCGAAGTCGTACGTAGACCCCTCACTTGTGCTCAAGACTGTTCAGTTACCCCCTGTTTTACAGGCTCAAAGGCCTTACTACGCTGCTCCATTCATCCTCGCCATCTTACGCACATCCATTACCTGAAATTGTTGCACCTCTGCTCCAGAAGCTGCTCTCCTCATCCCAACCGTACACGCACGTCGTCTCCGCCCACTCCTCCTCCGCTAAGTCCCTCCTTCCCCGGGTCGCAGCCCAACTCGACGTCCCCGCCCTTTCGGACGTGACATCCGTGAGCCACGAGAGCGACTCCAACACTACCACCTTCACGCGGCCCATCTACGCTGGCAACGCAGTGGCTACTGTCCGCGCCCCGTCCTCCCTGCCCGTCAAATTCTTTACAGTCCGTACCACTGCGTTTGCTGCTGCGCCGTCAGATTCGTCTTCTTCCGTGGAGGTCAAGTCGCTGGATCCGGTCCAAGCTGCTTCCCCGACCGAGCACATCTCCCTCTCACTGACGACATCCTCTCGACCCGAGCTATCCACAGCTGCTCGGGTAGTCTCCGGCGGCCGCGCGCTCAAAAACGCAGAGACATTTGAGAAGACGATTTATCCTTTGGCTGACCTGCTCGGCGCTGCCGTAGGCGCGAGTCGAGCGGCCGTTGACGCAGGATACTGCGATAACAGTCTCCAGGTTGGTCAGACGGGTAAAGTAGTTGCGCCAGAACTGTACATGGCCATCGGCATCTCTGGAGCTATTCAGCATCTTGCGGGGATGAAGGATAGCAAGATGATCGTCGCGGTGAACAAGGTGTTTTGTCGTGTGTACTTCAAGATATCATTATCGCTGATCACCGATGCTCTTACAGGACCCGGAGGCGCCCATCTTCCAGGTTGCGGATGTCGGACTCGTAGCAGACTTGTACGAGGCCGTCCCGCAGATCATCGAGAAGATGAAAGAGTAATGGCTGACACACAGGATGCTGAGGCAACGTCATATCTATCTTCAACTGTATATTCATTGCAATATGACATTGGTAACAAACTCGATGCGCGTGGTGAGATGGTCCTAATTAATCGGCTGAGTTTCTGGAGCCATAGACTATATCCACTCGCGACTTGCGTGGTGTGACTTCCTCTTTCTCGTAACAGGACGCTCTGCTGCACATTTGCAGGACCGTAGCTCTCACGGAGATTTTTACAAGCGGTTTGCGGGGGACTTGCTATCGCAAGGCTGTATCTGCTTTCTACTTCTTGCTTGTTTTTCAGCTTTAAACACAAGCAAGAAACGATGAACGTTCCTCTCCCCCAATCAAACTCGGCGGTAGTTTGCAAAAAGAATATTTATGCTATCGTCCGAATCTTGGGCGACTTGACATTGACTTGGTGTTATTAATCGTAGGTCAGCAGTTATGTTCCGAGTTTTCCCCGTGGCCGCATGCTAAACCGTTCCGTGAAAGAAGTCGTGGATTGCTCTCTCCAAATTCAGTTTCGCTATTACTGGATGGATACACCTTCTAGTCTTGATATGGCTTGTGTGCAGTGGTCGCATATGTTTCCCCGTGATTCACTTGGCATGCTTCAAACTCGTGAAGCGCCGTCTGGCGCCGGCAACTTACCCCTCCTTTGTTCAAGAAATTGACCTTGAGAACTTGCACTAAGTTCAAGATGTTGTGGCTGCTACATGAGGTCGACAAATTCATAAGGACAGTATTTCTACCATGTAAGATAATGCTAGGGATATTGTTAGTGATATATATAGGGGACCCAAGTTTTCCCCGGTTCTCTTTCAGTCAAGCTCCATCTAGGGCCAGGTAGAATGTCCTGTGCTGTTGTAGTCTAAGAGATACTTATCCCCTCTCCAAAAATGTCTAATGGTGTGTATCTGATGCCTGGACATCTGGCATCCATCTCACATCATAGTTTTATCTTACAGTCTGTTGGGCCTCATGATCATAAGCCATGGAATAACATGGAAATTCTTGATTCTACTTATTTGTAAATTGTCACGGACTTATGTACGGCATGGAGACCCAGAAAACTAGAATGATTGAATACACATGTTAGATGGAGTGCACATACACTCAAATCCTTCTCAAGCCAACACCCAAAAGTTTTGAGGTACAAGGATCTATGTTTGATACTATGCTCTCCCTATGCCTCTAAGTTTTACCTCCAAATAGCCCTTCACCTGTACCTTGTGGCATCCACAAACTAACACTAATTACATAGTTGAGAGGGACTTGAGTGTGAATATTGAGATGCATGCCCGACCATGGCTAAGTCCTTGTTCAGTAGTGGCGCCATTAGAGCCAAACATAGCACGCCGGAGTTTGCCGGTGCGACGAAAAGTGCGACGCAATTCAAGGGTGCCAGAACCCCTCCCAAAGGAGTATGGCAACAGAGAGCGTTCAGCTCGATTTTTGCCGCAGGATGGACCTGTTGCCGACGGCACCGCTGTCAAGGCCCCGAGAACCGCCTGTAGAGTACGTCACACAGTGTGACTATGGCACAGGTTGACTTGTGTTGTCTATAACTTCTTTCGGATGGGAACCTAAGGTCCAAAATTTATATAGATGTGTTCTTGTATTGTATATGAACTATACTAGATACTAATATTGAGCGCCGAAGTGTTATGTGGTATGCGACATCGAGAAGATAATATCATGAGCCATCATAACATTCGGAGACGTCCGATGCTATATCTCACGCTACTTTACGCTCAATTCAGACTCAGCGAGCTCGAATGCACATCCTCGCAGAGGTTACTGCTTGTGCTGTAGTCCCTTTATACGAGTATAACCGCCGATAACACTTAGTTTACAAGTGTCCCATTCAGAAAAAAGAAGCCAATCCAGAAAGAGTCTGCAGGAAACA